TTAGATCTCCAAAAGCGCTGTTCTAACAGCTGACCTCCGAAAAAAAAATCCCTGGTTGTGTAGCATTGAAGCATCGGTGAGTAATTGCACGCGCTCAGCCGTTGGCCAGTAAATTTGCTAAAAAAAATGGCTAAAATACCTAATAACTGTTCAAATTTAATAAAAATTAAATTGTATTGTAAACTTTAGATCATTATTATTGTGTATGTTGTATTTGTCCTATGTAAATTTACTTCTTTTCCCATTAGTACATGTTTTAATATTTTAACATTAATGTCATGGTGCTGTAATGCTGGTTTCTAATCCACATTTTGAATGTTAGATTTAGTGTTATAAATGTACTTTGGCACTTTTAGATTGAGATTTGAATTGTTGCTTTGTTGATATTAGCATCCTAAATTTTAAGATGCTTTACTTTGACCTTCTTCCAGGTCAGGTTTTTTTCTTATGGTGCACTTTTGAAACATTGTGCCAGAGACATCAAGATCACCCTTACAAAGAACTTGGATGGCGAGCCCCAGCCCAGAGGACCGAGTGAACTGGTAGACAGTGACCCGACTGGTCACCAGCCGTGAAACATAAAAAATAGTTCAGACACATTGAGAAGACTAAACAAACCTTGAAAGAACAATTGACAGATATCCAAAAGACTGGGTTATTTTTTTAATTTAATTTTTTTAAAGCGCGCAATTTTTGTTTATTTGTACAATGTGGATCCACAATGTTGTTTATATTAAATTTAATTTTATTTTTTTAAATTAAATTCTACTTTTTATATATACATTGTGTGCTCTCCTCTGTTGTTCACACCCAGGCTCCCCCAAATTTAGAATCTCCTGATCAGGCCCAACTTCCTTTATACTTCTGTAGTGTTGGTGTTAGTAAAGTAAATTAACTTAACTTGCCATCTACTATTAAAGGTATTTAAAGTAACCCTTCTTGTGGGTTACACTTGGTTTTAAATATTGTGCTATTAGTAGAGAATAGTCTAGAGTTTTTCATTTTGTTATTGTGATAAATAGCAGGGTTTACAGTAAATGGAGACTGTTATTTGTCATGTAAACAAATAATTATCTAGTTTGTATTACTGCTTGATCCTTCAGCATCAGCAGCAAGATTCTTTTATGAACTCTGTTCCTGTAGTTGAGCGTGGCTCAGGATACTGTGGTGTCCTGAACTCAACACAGTAAAGTCACAGTGCGCTAGCTAAGGCTGCTAACTAGCAGGTGCTAGCTCAGGGTGCTGAGAGCCCAGTAGGCCTGGTCCTTGTCAGGATGCGGCTACTGTCTTTGAAATCAAGTTTCTGCTATTTTTGCGCGTTCAGGAGGAGAAGGACAACACATCTCTGCATCACAGGTGAGCCCCTTTCACGGTTTTAACTGAAGTTAGCTAACTTTAACCAACATAAAGAAATGTGTAATTTTTGAGCCATGCTGTTTATGTACATGCACTGCAGCTAGATATTTTTACTATATAGAACACTTAATTTTCCCAGACGCAACACTTCCATTAATGTTTCTGTAGGAACGGCTGCATAGATTATATTTCTGGTCTACTTTAGACTACATGTGCTTAAAGTTATTGTTAATGGCAGAAGCAACTTTTTCAAGTTTGGTTCAGTAATTAAGTTGAATTACTTTGAGTGTGAAATGTTCATGCATGCAAGTTAAATCTGTGAAGAACACCTTAGCTTTTGTTTCAATACTTTGGTAATACTTGG